TGTCTACAAAGAAAGAAAAGTTTCTGTTACATAGGAGCATTCAGCCTTACGTTAGTGTGTGCAGGTTAGCCAACTTTCTACAGAACGTGAGCCAAGTGAACACACTGATTACATTTACATAGTCAAGCAGAACTGTATTGACGAGAGCCAGAATGCAACGTTTGAGTGACGTTTATTGGCCACGTTACTCTTGAGCACTGTCATCCATTCTACACGCTGTTTGAATTAAGACTGTGAACTTAAGTATTCAACATTAGTTCTAGGCCCTGTCCCGAAATCCTCTCATCTTAACCAACCGAAATGATTTTCAAAATGAATCAGTACGTGTCTCCAAGCACAAGCTTAAGTGGCCGTCCTGCCATAGTCGGTAGCAATGAGAATGAGCTAATCTAGTGTGTCTGTAGGATGTAAACTTGAGCCTAGAATGAGTTCCGAGCGCGACCAATAGAGGGCGCAAATTTCCTAGCAATAGAGGTTCCTTTGGTAGGAACTGCACTTCGCTAGTCTACAAACTATGAAATGCGTGCGTTATTGTCGCGAAGCTATACCAAAAAAGTGAACATTCCCGACAGTGTGGCTCTTTTGCAATCGATGAGGGGGTGCTTCTGCCGTGCCGAACTCAAATACAATTTTTGAAAGTTCGGCGCGGCAAGTTGAATTGGGCTCGGTAAGCTCTTCAGCTCGTCAGGGCATACCGCGCTATTTCGTCGTTTGAAAGGGCCGTGACAGACACTGTTCTGTTGAAGTTCGACGTTTAGCGCAACTGTCATTTGAATTTAGTTCGGCACGGCAGTAGCACGGCATCTCGTCTTGGCCTAAGATGACAGTGTATCATAGAAATACGTGGTTGAGTTATGGAAGGTTCTTCCATGGTTAAGTTAAGCTCGGAATACATACAGTTTACCATCCTTTTGTTTTGATTTGGCTTTAACTTTCAAAAAAGAGTTAGCATTTTTGCAGTTGTAATTCTAGCACATATATTATTCAACCATGTCTGTTAATCTTACATTTTGGGTTCTAAAATCGCACCCGGCCATGAAACTAACGGAGCATCTCTTTCAAATCTTTGTAATAAGGGACATGCAACAAATTTAGAGAAGTTCAATGCGAGTTAAAGATACAATATAGTTTTTATTGCATTTACTGTTAATTAAGACAAAAGATTTTGAAAACGAATTTATATATTTTGGTAAAATGTATGTTACAATTACAGGTAAAAGAAATGGTCGGAAAATCCTGTAAATAAATTAACTTTTTTTACAATTAAATATACAAAAATAACTTACACCAATAAAATATGGACTATAAAATAAATTAAAGAGAAAAACAGAATAAATGGATCATAATATGTGCACGTACTTCTAACCATTAAATGGCGAAATTTTGATAATCCTTTTGGCAAGTGATGAATCCTTGACTATATACAGGGGTGTGAGCGGCCGTTAAAGCTGAAAACAGCTAGTAAAAAGCTGAATTGTTTAAAGTCCCTGTACTTTTGTAAAGAACAGACTAGGTGTACAAAAAAGCTGAAATTTAGGGTCAACATCTACACAAAAAAGCTGAAATCAGCTAAAAAGCTGAATTCTCACACCCCTGTATATACATCTATATCGAGACTTTGTCCATCTGAGGAAAATATATGTAACTGTGAAAACTACAACTCATATTGCTTGTACATTATAATGTACATGAGAGACATGGTCAGAGGCATGGTCAGAGGCATGGTCAGATCTTGGACATGTCAATGCCATCGCCACCATTAAGCGGTGCATACATATGAAGACAAAACAGTCAAAATGGAGTAGCAGTTTTTATGCAGATATTTGTAGCAGTTTAAAAATGAATATGCAAACTCTTTCTTGCTTATAGTGTTAAAGATGGAAGAATTTATTTACGGGTTAAACATAGTAATAAATACGTATTGATCATTTAAATACAGGGGAGGGGAGAAAGCTACAGGAAATTAGGGCTGGGAAAGGAAGCCTGTCATGTGTATTGTTGGGTTTGGTCATTTTAGCCGTGTGAAGATTTCAGTGAAATCAGGTGAGAGATTTATGTCACCAAAGAGCATTTCATCAAATGTGTGCCATTTTAAATGACTTACATCATGATTGCTTGGGCTGAGATTTTCATATTGGAGAAAATCCCACATCTAAACGTCAACCATGAGAAAGATAACATCATTTTCCCGGCTTTTAATTTCAGGCTTTGGAGCGGCCGAAAGCCTCGTCTTTTTCAGTAGTTGACAACTTGTGTTCAGAAAAAATATACTGATATCTTGAAGTCACGTTGAACCCGAAGAACCTCATCTCCTACAGGTAAAAAACATGGATTGTTACAAAAGCCATTTCAAAACTGTAAAAAACTTGTTTAGTATATGAGGAAGTTGAAGGGTCAAGTTCCCTCTGCATGTACATTGTTTCTTCCAAACAATTATTGAACAGTACTTTTTAATATTTCAGAATGTTGCAAACACAAGAAACCTTTTTGAAACATTTCTTTGTGGCAAGAGCATAACACAAAATATGAACACTTGTATAATTTATATATAGACAAATAATGCACCCAAACAGTGTACCTAAAAAAAATAAAATCTTGTTTTTTTTAAAGAATGGTTTGATTTATTGTAGGCACTGTATCATGGTTGGAAACCTGTTTCCAATACTGTAAATTTACAGTTCAGACTGTCCTCCAGAAAAATCTTTTTTGATAGAATGAAGGCATTCACTGGTTTCCGAATGCTCCCACATCTAATGCACATAATGAATGGATACCATTCATCGGAATCGAGACAACTCATCTAGGTGTGACATTGACTTCAATGGAAGGTGTTCGGGGGTCAAAAGGTCATCAAACTATTAACCTGTCGACATTTATGAAGCATAAGTCCACATTTCGGTTAATTCTTAAGTCATATTCTTTTGAAGTGTCTTAAGATTTAGTTCTGGTTGACTGCACAATGTGCACATTACTCCCACACTAGTAATCAATGACACACATTCCCATTTGTCGTAAAATAACCAAGGGACATTTGAAAACTACTGCTAAGCCAATCAACTTCAAACCCACCAGAAATCCAGCACACCTGAGATTCAGCAGTATTTCGATTGAGTCCCAGGCTTTATGGCCGTAGCACTGTTAATTTTCCTGGACCAAGTGTTTCATTAATACTCAAGAAGGATGAACATGCCAGTGTCTAATGCAAAGCATTGGATTAAAGTAATTTTTTCAAACTTCCCATAAAAAACTCCAGGAAGACGAGTTTAGTTTACCTAAATAAGAAATATTGCATCCAACGGTGGCCCACAACAGTACTTGGCTTGATTCTGACGAGGCTACCTGAGTGTGCTATGACAAAGTTTCTTTTCCTATAGCCCATTCAGCAAAGATTTCAAGAAGCTTGTCCAACCTACTGTTGCAATCAGTTTGACCTGATGTCAGAATTTACCAGGTTACAGACATTTCAGATGGGTGGTGTAACCCGTGGCAACCATGACTTAGCCTCTGTTGACCGCATCCCAGAGAGACTGAGGCAGGATTCGAACCCAGACCAAGACCTTTAGCTGAAGCACCACTCCTCCTCTGCCCCTTGTGCACCGCCGTGAAAAGGTTACATTGCGATTGGTGTGTCGCTTGCACTGTCAGGTTTGCTGGCTAGGTTGACTGCATCCTCATAGGTTGGTGGGGGTGCAATGGGTTCCGCCTGTAGATCAGACTTGGACATATCAGGAACCCTTCAAAATATAAGGAAATGAAGAGAACTGTATGGAAAAAGCATATGGAGTTGATCTGTTAGGTGTAAGGAATTACTGGTAACCATCTTTTGCAGTCTGAAAGCATGTTCAAATCGTGGATGTCGTATAAAAAATCTGGACTCGCGATGCCTTTGACTAGACCATACAGGTCACTGAGGCCAACGGCGGCCATATTACCATGCCTAATACAAAGGTAATGCAAAAGCTCGCTCATCCTTGTTATCCAAATTGTTCATTTAAAATAGCACGCAATCCACTATCATCTTTGTTTTTGGCATGCTAAGATGGCTGCCAGTGGCTTCAGTCGGTACAAGATAACTGTGAATCCCAGTTTTTTAATATGACGTCCATGGGTCGAATAGGGCCTTCTCAGAGCTCTGCCCAAAAATGTATATTAAGTGATGTTCAGAGTGAACTAGTAAATTACCAGTACTTATCAAGATCAAGTTTACTAACAGGAACGATTCAAATCATAAATTGCATGAAATAGAAAGCCAAACCTTCCTTTTTT